GCAACCGAAATCACTTCGAGTCCAAATCACCTCTGATATTTCAGTCCCCGAGTCTGTGTCCAAATACCATTATATTTAAAAGTTGTGTTTATTCACCCCTCATAAGTTTAACTTCTATCAATATAATGTTTACTCCTACTTCCTTAATTACCTATTAATATATGTTTTCTGATTTAGAACAGAAGTAAAAGTTGGAAATGCTTTTGCCAGTTCTCCCACTTTATACACATACATTGACAGGTTGGCAACGAATCTCCCCGAAGTGGACGCGATACATTGGCGTACAAAATTATTTTATAGATGTTAATAACAATTTCGAGTAAATAGTTTAATAAATTGTGAATAGCTGTTGAAATTTTGTAAAATTATAATTTGAATATTATAATACATGTTTAATAATTATTTATAATCCATAAATTCATGCGATTGTCCGGTTGCGCCGATAACAATTTAAAATTACTTATTTTATGAAACGACACTGGCAGGTAAACATTACTGTGAAATTCTCGGAGCCGCCCGACGTGGTTTGACGTTTACCCCCTCTCTACCTACCAAATGACTTTTCAACTTTTACTTTCTCTATAAACTATTTTGTTTCGTCCTCTGTTATTATGGACTGTTATTATGGATTGTTACCTCTAGGATTACATATAAAAGCATTGCAAATCGTACGTGACTCTACAAATATCAGCGTTAAGGTACTATTTCGGTAGGCGCGACAGATGACCGCCGACGCGACATACGACCGCCAACGCGACCGAGAAGTGTCGCTTCACATCCAAAATACAATTATATGAAACACATTTCGCACGGCGCGACACGAGAAGTGTCGTCAGACGACACTTCTGAATCTGACTCGGGGCAAAGGTTTGCTGCCTGTCGCACTCGAGGTCACTGTCCTCGAGCATCGCTTCATCGCTTGGAGGTGAATAGGTTGAAAATTTCTTTCGATCTAGGCAGTGTTGCTAGATTTTGGAACAGTATGGATGAAAAAAAAAACCGTAGATCTGAATAGTAGATTTTAATACAGGGGGAAATAATTAAAATTTGTAGTGTAGTAAATAAAAAACAAATATATAAGAAACCAAAAATAAACTGTTTTCGAGCCAAATTAGAAGGTAAACAAAGAATAAACACAAACAATAACATTTTTAATATATACTTATATATAATAGGTACCTACTTCTTTTAGATCAGTCTGAATCAGATAATTTAAAATCGTAGCGTGCATGTTCTTTTTATGTTGCCCTATTAATTCTTTGTTTCATTTTAAATAAAAACAATGATTATCTTGATGTTTTTTTTTTATGGAGCCAACCTAGAGTAGTGGATGCTTATTACGCTGCTTTTACTGCAGAAAATTTACTAGAGAAAATATTCTTTAACCATTTACTGAAGAATGAGGCAAACTTAATAAATTAAGAACAAAATTTGCTAGAGACAAAAACAGTGGATCTACGTGGAAACAGTAGGTCTGGCAACGCTGATAGTTCCCTCGAATGGTTATCCTGTAAGTGTCGCGCGACATTTCTCAAGCTTGCGAAATGTACGAAGCGTAAAATTTATGCATCTGTCATCCTACTCGACCTTGGGGTCGTCTCAGTGGTCGCTTGTCTCCTGACGCGCCTACCCAAATGGTACCTTTAGACCCGCTCGTCTGAGAAGTTGATTGCCGAGCGGTCAATTGTGTGTCGGACGCTAGATCGCTGAAAAGCCGGCTCGTTTGCACTTTTTTATTTATTACTTATTTAAGTGATAACGCAGTTTAATCGTACTTACATACTACCAACTTCGATTGTTTTTACGAATAGTCGCTAAGCTTTTTTTAAGTGTGTATTTCTATTGGATGCGGTTTAAGTCATTAAATATTATAGCCGCGCTAGTTATTTCTGTTTTGTTTGATTTGTACACCTTGCTTTAAATAAATTTAACAGGAGCGGCTTTGAACTATATCGCCGTATTTGTAATATGTTAAAGGTATTTTTAACCATAACCATTAAGTCCCATTACAATTTGTTTCAGAATATTTAGTTTTTAACCCTTAACCACCGTCATCACAATTCTGAAGCACTGTTCCCGTCAAGCGGTCACAGTGACCGGTATTTTCTTTTACCTTAACTGAATAATTTTTTTACTTTTTTTTAAGCAATAAAAATGTTTGTACTTACCTTCGGCATACCAAAAAAGTTCTAAGAATAAGTATGTATTTCTGTATATAGGTTTTTATTGGCACAACAACATAATTGGTTATATTATTATACATTTCTACTACACTGAGAAAATAATAATTTTTCATAAAAAAAGAGAAACAGAACGAACCAATAGTAATTTCCTAAATTAACCAAAAAATTAAAATGTTAAAAAAAACAAGATAATTCAAAAACTGCAAAGGTACAAAATTTACAATTTGTGTCTACAATTATTACATATTTGTGAACTGCATTGCAAACATATAGCTTTGTAGCACAATAAATATAAATGAAAAGTTTTTCTTTTGATTCTAGAAGGACATATGTAACATGTTTTTCTTTTTTCTAATTTTGCTGAAACCACCGGAACTGAAATTTCAGGATGTCTTAATATTCTTCTAATATTTGACCTTACTTCGCTCCGTATATGAATATTTGACATTCTTCTTTCCAAATAAGGTCTTACCAATTGATCAGGAAGTAATTTGATGAAATCGGATTTTTATAACTTATCACTGTCTTTGTGTGACTGATGAAGAATGTGTGAATTTACACCACTTATATCAAGCAATCGGAAAAATAATACCATTGACCGGCACTGAGTACGACGACTTGTCGAATGCTTGCACACTTTTCATCTAAAGCATCAACTCCTCCTTTATGTAGTTGTACAATGAAATGATTTCTGGTTTGTGGTTTTCCTTATCGGTAGATTTTGAATGATGCATAGATGAAACTAAAACAACAGCTCTGTTTTTCTTCGCCACGTAAGTCAAGTGCTTTGTGAAGGCAAAAATTGAAGAACCTTCTACTTTTTTTGGTTTAGGAAGGAATTCAGAAGGAATCTCCCTTTTATTTTTCTTTAATGTACCTACGCAAGTTAATCCATTTTTTCTCAATAACTCTGTCAGTTCTATCGACATCAACCAGTTATCGGCTGGCACGTTTCGATTTGTATTGAAGATAGGTTGAGCTAGTCTTAGGACTGCCTGCGTAGGCTTACTTAATTTTTTCTGCTCGGTCGTTAATCCAATTCCATCAGTATCTTTACCACTGTAAATATATCTGTTGTAAAAGTAACCATTTCTTGCATCTGTCGAGCATAAAATTTTAAGACCATATTTACAAGATTTTGCTTGCATGTACATTTTAAATTTGCATCTGCCTCTAAACGACACAAGCATTTCGTTAATGCAAATATTGGTACCCAAGGTGTAAGCTGTCTGTAAATTTACTATGAATTGGTTGAATATTTCTGAAATAGGGCTAATGGGTTCTTCCTGTCTTCTTTCCCCTCTCTTGTCAGGATTTTCGAACCGTAAGCAGATCATTAAAAAGGAAAATCTATTTTTAGACATAACAGATCGAAAAATGTCTCTGCCAGACCCATCAGTAGCAAACATTCTCTCGATTTTTTATAATTTAAAATAAATGCTGCTGTATAAAATAGGAGTCCAATAAACGCTTTTAGTTCAATTAGATCAAGATCTTTTGATTCGGGTCGTGAAGCTCGTGAAAATATATTTCAATTTTTTTTTAATTGTCAAATTAGTCCACCGTAATGCTGTAAGCAACATCTCTTCATTTAAAAGTGTACTCCACACATCAACAGGTTCTGATTTATTTACAAATTGTGCGCTTGGTCGTAAGTCTGGCAACTGCATTATAATATTGTGCTGCAAAGTTCTAGTGCGAGAACGAAAAGGTTCAGCCGACCACTTGTACCTATTTTTACCGAAATAATTTTTCTTGATCGGTACTTCAGTGTCAGTTTCAGAACTATTACTTATCACTTCTTCCTCTTCTGTTCTGTCAACTTCACTTTCAATTTCTGGATCACTGTCATGCTCACTAAGTTCATATACGTACTCGTTTACATCGTTTCTATCACTACAATCGATATCAATTTCTTCATACCATTTGAAACATGTTTCTTCATAATCTCTATTCAAAACGTTGCAAGATTTCATCATCTTTGATGGCCCCAGTTGCTTATCCATTGTAAAACTAAATATGCTCACTATACAAAAATGTTACGCTAACACGGTAGTGCGGTATCGGAATTCAATATCTCGTAGGAAGAGTACAAATTGACTAATTATTTCATACGTCTGTAAGCGTACTAATAATGATATTGATTGAAGGTACTGGGGCACTCAAGTTGCTATTTTGTAAAAATCGGAAAATATACACCAACGTAAAACTGAAGCGGTCACAGTGACCACGCGACGGTGTTTAAGGGTTTAGTGTTGTTGGGGGTAATAAAGCACAATAAATATTGCGAATTTGCAGATACTTTTTAGAATACGAACAATTAATACTTGTAACTTACATCTGTAAGTTTGCTATATTTGCAGATCTGCAAAGTTCCAGATTTGCTTTCTCTGCAATATCGCCCTCAGTTAATAAATAATTATAATGTATCGTTAGTGCGTCAATTACAAAACGTTTTGTTTTATTTAAAAAAGTCTTAGGCTTTTACTTACTTAGGATATTACTAATAATATTTTTTTAAGGCATTATCCTAGTGTAACCGGCATAGCTGCCGAACATTTTTGATGTTAAAATATGTATTCTGTATACAAATTACCAAACTATAGAGAATATGACTAAGATTACCTCTTTCAGGTACTTCTTTGATGACCACCTATTGATTCAATTAAATAAGTACGTCACAATGACATACTCTATGAAAGCCCTGACGTACTAGTATGTCTGAAAAGTACAATTGAATCGCTGATTGCAGAAAGGGTATAAGTCATGTTTTCGCATATTTTGAGATTTTTACGTGAATCGACAGTTCAACCCAAACCTCATCGTTGTGCACATAAAGGATTCATATTCTGATAAACACCATGTAAAATAATAATTCATTTCAATAACGTTTAGTACAGAAAAGGTCTAAGTCAATTGACTTGTACCCTTTATGCAGTCAATCGGATCGCAAGGTGGCGTTGCTAGTGAAATATCGGTAGTTGTTATTTTAATTTTCTGTCAGTTAGATTATCTTGTCCAGCCATGGAGGACGTAAATAATTTAAAACTTAATAAAGGGGTAGTTAACTGCGATGGATATAAAAGGAATATTTTTAAAAAGTGCGGGTAAGTTTTAGTCGTTACAATAAAATATAATCTATTGAATTATAAAGGTAATGTTGTTCCTGCTAAATCTGTTGGAGACCCATGTAACTACAGGTTCAAATGCTTGGAGAAGATTACTAATAAGCAGCAGCTAGAGGCATTTGAAAGATTTTATAATTTAGTTACAAAGGACGAACAGGACTTGTGTTTACAGGGACTGTTCATGTTTCTAGTATCAAAACTCGCCGCCCACGAGTACAAGAACTTAGGGAGAACAACAAACGTAACAGTAGTTTTAAATATAACGTACTGATTGCAACTGAAAGAAAAATTATTTGTAAAAAGGCATTCTTATCTGTTCATTTCATCAATAATTAAAGATTACAACGTATTCAGCAGTTGTTACAAGCATGATTTAAGCCTACAGATAAAAGCGGAAAACAAGTCAGTGCTAATATTATCCCCGCCGAAGAGAAGATTTGTATTCATGAGCACATAAATTCGTTTCCTGTAAAAATGTCCCATTATTCTTCAAGAGAATATCATTATCTTAGCTCCGAATTGACAGTAAGGACTATGTATTCGATGTTCAAAGAAAAATATCCAGACTCAAAGATTAAGTACGAATACAACAACAGAATTTTGAGCTGAAGTTTGGTAGGCAGCAAGTCGACATATGCTGCACTTGTGAGAATCTTTCAATCAAATTTAAGAGTAAGAATCTAAATGAGAATGCTAAAAGAGTTGCTATTGCTGAAATGCTCGTGCATAAATGACAAAGTAAAAAGTTTTACACGGCACTGCAGGAGTCAACAAAGAAGAGCAAAGAGTCTAATAATGTAGTTGCCATTGCGTTTGACTATATGTAAAACTTACAGCTTCCAAAAATACCAGTACAGAATTTATTCTATTTAAGACAATTAACAGTAAGCGTTTTTTGCATCCACAACATGAAGACTGACCAAGTTGTTTACTTCATTTATCATGAAGGTTGTGTCAAGAAAGGCCCTAATTAAGTATGTTCCTTCCTGTTCCAGTATATAAAGGAATATATACCTGACAGTGTGAGGGAACTGCATTTCTTTAGCGACAATTGTCCTGGTCAAAACAAAAATAACACCCTGATTCGAATGTGCCTATTCCTAAAAGATTCCGGCAGATTTGATGATATTCAGCAATACTTTCCCATTCGAGGACACTCGTTTATGCCTTGCAATAGAGACTTTGGTAACTTTAAAAGAAAGTTAAAAAAAGTGGATCGTGTTTATACCATACGTCAGTATATACCAGGTCTTCAACAATACCCGAAACCCACGTGATCTGGTAGCATCAAAAACACAGCGAAAGGGCCTGATTTGGTTCCTTATATGTCAACTGTCGTTGTCAATACTGTCAAAAATATCATTAACGTTCATTTGGGTTTTTGGGTATATTTATAATATTTATATTATTTAAAGGTTATTGATTTTGCATTTTGTCAACACGCTTTTATTAAATTTTTCCTCAAATAATAATAAACCAATCAGGTCTTTTTAGAGCTCATTAGTGCTTTCATTCTTTTTTGCCGGTAAGTGTAAATTTATTTACTTTTATACAATTTTATTGACAATATAATTTTCAGCTCAAAATGTTTACACCGGAACAAGATTCTTTTATTTTAATGGCACATTATAGAAGTGGATCTCAAAATTATGATGGAACTTGGTCATATTCAATTCAGAGTAGCATTCAACAATTTGAGGAACGTTTTCCAGCTGTACAAATAGAATATGATAGTTTTCGTCATCATAGACATATTCTTGTTCAACGTTTTGAACCGAAAAATTGCATTTGTAAAGGAAAGGGGTCTGGAAGGTCCACAATAATAACCGAAGAAGTTGTTCAAGATGTGCGAATTCGCATGGAGCAAAGTCCCACTAAATCAGTAAAAAAGTTAGCAGCTCAAGCAGGTAAGAACAGTGTTTGGGAGCTTGACTCTCTTATAATCTAATTTCATCGTTTTAGATTTATCTGTAGGAACTAGCCATAAGATTTTGAAAAAAAATCTATCAATGCATCCTTATAAGGTTTCAGTACTGCAACAATTGTTTCCTGGTGATTTTGTTAAACGTATGGAATACTGTCAATGGTTCAATGAGCAATTAAATGACAATAACTTATTGGATCGAAGTTTTTTTACTGATGAAGCATGGTTTCACTTATCAGGATATGTCAATAGTCAAAATTATCGAACATGGGCAACTGAAAATCCTCATTCATTTGTGGAGATAAGTCTACATCCCATAAAAGTTGGTATTTGGATAGCAATTTCAAGAAGAAGAATAATAGGGCCCATATTTTTCTATGACACAATTAATGGCCAACGTTATCGAAATATTTTTCTTGAATTTGTTGAACAGTTACAGGATGATGAGTTACAATTGGGTTACTTTCAACAAGATGGAGCAACAGCTCATACAGCTAGAGCTACTATTGACCTAATAGAAGAATATTTTGATGACCAAATTATTAGTAAAGGATTATGGCCTCCAAGATCTCCAGACCTCACACCTCCTGACTACTTTTTATTTGGTCATATAAAAAATAAAGTATTCAGAAATCGTTTGCATGATGTGAATGAATTGGAGCAAGCTATAGTTAATGAAATTGAAAGTGTAACTGAGGAGCAACTGCATAATGTGTTCGAAAACATGAAAAGAAGGGTTAATGCTTGCATAGAAGCTGGTAGTGAACATTTTGAACACTTACTGTAAATGTATATTCTTTGTACAACATCAAATTATCCTTTAAAATTCATTATTGAAGTTGATGTGATCAATTCTGTTCAGAACTGGATTTTTTTTTTGTTTATATCAATATGACTTTTTGTTACATTTTTTATATATATTTTAAATGAACAAAAACAAATTTAACATGAAAAATTAGCATATTCTAAATTAATTTTCAATTTTATAGATACCTACTAAATAAAAACAAATTAAAAATTGTATTTGTTTATTGTGTCCCATTGCCCATGTACAATTCCATCTCTTGAAGTAAATTTTAAATTGATTTCTAATTTCTAAACGTGCAACAAGCTAAATGTATGATCTGTAGGTACTTTCTGTACCTATCAAGTTGATTTTGTAAAATTTAATAATTCTACTACATAAACGAAAACATTCAAAGCGATTATCACATGTTTAATCAAAATAAGATTACTATTACTCATTCTAACCAATACTGTTGTAATTTAAACAGTCAGCCGTAGTTAAGGTAATATACCAGTTGCCATCAAGCTAAAATAAATAATTTGTAATTGTGTTCTTTATGCATAACATTTTTTAACCCTCCGTTCCCACACTTAATTTTTATTAAGAATTTGTCCCTCAAAATTTCAATTATTGAATAATAATAATTCTAAATTCAGCTCATTTAATAAAATTGGGAGCTGTCCCATTCCGCTACACGCACTGGGATATATGATGCCCCATGCTTATTTATACACAACAATTGAACTTAAAACTCATAACAATTTTTTTATGATAACTTAGATCACAATAAACATATGTACCAAAAAACTGATGGCTAAAATGCTATTTTATTGACTTAAAAAGGTAAAAGACAATTTGTATCACAAACGAATATATTAAATTTAATCTAAATAAACGTAATCATTTAGTTAATCTATATACAAAATTGGTAAACAAATCCAAGATTTTCGGGTAAACTTCACTTGTATCTACTTTTTCTTTTTACGACTGACAACCTCTTAGTCTTTGGAGGTCTTTCTTCAGTTTTCTCTTCGCTACTTTGCTCAATTTCGGCTTCAGTTTGAATTTCAACATAATTAAAATTCTTATCAGAATTTTCACCGCAAAATAATTCATGTTTATTATATCCTTTAAAGATTCAGGAACAAAGTGTTCTAATTGTATCTCGCTCAAAGGGCGAGAGGTGGAAGCATTTCTATGTAAAAATAAAATACCATGCCAATACAATACCATATGTAATTTAAAAATACCACTACTTCAAGATCCTATAGCAAAAAAAAAAAACAAATAATAAACTCTTACAGCACACGCTGGGACATAGTCTTTTGATGGGTATAGACTGAACTTCACTTGCAGAAGTACCTCGACCATATTGAATGTGGTGGAAACTGAATTTATACCAGCGGTATTTGTATTACTTCCAAACTTGATGATAAAGAAGTGTACGGACGGAGCATCGAGATAAAGTACGGAGGGTTAAATAAACATTAAAAACAAAAAAAAATCGAAGGTATCGAATTATTCTTCTTTTAATAAGAGAGGTATTGAATTCAATAGTGATTACATAAAAAAAATTAAAGATAAGATTTTATATTGGCCTAAATGGAATTCTAACATAAATATATAATAATGTAAAGCACCATTAATTTAATAATATTTTTTTTTTTTTGTTATATCTCACTGTATTTTGTTCTTAAGATTACAGACCATAAAAAAAAGAAGAAGAATAATTTTATTTTTATTTTATTTAAAACACCTACAGCACTGGCCAACAGCTAGGGATTTTTACTATTATTTTCACCAATCGCTGTCATGACGTTTTGATCACGTGGGTTTCGGGTATTGTTGAAGACCTGGTAGAAATTTAAGCATCTTGCAGCAACAAACATAAATTTCTAATCCATCTTGTGGATGGAAAGGATATAGTGAATTTTAAAGACTGGTGGCCTGGACTTTATAAAAAACAGCTATTTCTACTGAAACTTCTCAAAGAGGTACGCCAAGAGATAGAAAAGTTGCGTTTAACATCAGCAACTTTCATCAGTTTTCCTACTGCATGAATGATTGGAAAGGTGTAGTACTTGCAAAAGACTACATTAATGGATTCGAGAAACATACATTTTGTCTAGGACTTTCCAATATTGTAGCAGAACCTAAAGTATTTTGTTACCTAACAGGAAAACTTCCCATAAAATCAGATAAAATGGATCACATAAAGAAATCGGCTAAATATGTGAACGACGTTGAAGGAACAAAAGAATTTTGGGGTAATATTTTTAGTTGGCCTATTATAAATTAAAAATCTGTGTTTTGTTAATCCAATTTTTCTTACAGTCTGTCTTAATAAAGTGTTTTTCGTCAATTACTCCCTCTTTCTCTTTTATTTTTTCCAATTGATAACAGAAAAGGGTATATGTCAGTCAACTTAAAAGGTCTATAACTTTTTACTGCTTAAAGCAAATATTTTCAATTACCCCTAAAAGGGATAGTGTTTTGATATAGTTTTTACATGCACATTCAGTTTTTTTTATAAATTATGCTCCAGTTCGAAAAACAGTTATTTGCATTTATCTCAGAAGTTAAGTTCAGTGACATATATCCTTTCTGCAATCAGCGATTCAATTACAAGTTTTTATTTTGAAATTGTTGGTTAAACTGTTGTACCTATTCGTATTCATATTTGTGGTTCAGAAAATAATTAGGCACTTAATTAATTATGTTAGTTTATTTTTAGGTTAATTTTAAGTTACCATTCAATG